GCCAGGAAAATTGGTAACTTTTTAGGCTCTTTTATTAAATTTGAGATGGGCCACTTTGATGGAAAGCAGAGTTCTTATTTGCGAATACGAGTGTGTTTGGATGTCCGTCAACCATTGAAAAAAGGTATCAACTTATCACAGGATGGGGTGAAACATTGGGTAGGTTTTAAATACGAAAAACTACCCAGCTTTTGCTTTATATGGGGTGGAACTTAGAGCTGAAGGAAGAGTGAAGACTAGTCCGTCAAGATTTAATAAATGGTTATCTGAGGGAACCCCTAGCTCAGATGGATTTGGAGGACAGCGGAAGACTGATCTCGGGGTAGAGAATACGGTTGAGTCCAAATCTAGCAAGCCATCATTGCATGAGAGCGAAGACAAGGAAGGGACTCCTGGAGATACTAAGCGTAGAAGGATATGTGATAATCAGACTGAAGAGGATGCAAAGGGCGAAGGAATGACTCTGGATGGGCAAAAAAATGGGGAGGGGGCGAGTCAGGTCTCCTAGACTCGCCTTATCTCTGTTAGGCGGTGGTGGGGAGGAAAAATTACAATGGTGTTTTTATTACTGTCTTCTTTGGGTATCTTAACTTAGGTTGCTTTATTTTGTTTTGCTTCTATTTTTCATTCCTTGTAAGACTCTTGCATTAAGGTTGGGGGAGGGAAAGTCTGCGGTAACCGTCATTGGCTTTAAGTTGCCCAATTTTGGTATAGCGAGTTATACTGCTTTTTCACAGCTGGTTAACTCTCAGTCTCGGCTTTGGGCGGATGGTTATTTGTGACTCTTTTCTAGTTTTGTTCCCTTACTGAATGCTATTTTTATGAATTAAGCCTTCTTCGAGCAAAAAAAAACTATTAATTCACAAGTTCATATTAATAAATGTCAAGAGACTAAATTTGTCGATCGAAATAGTTGCAGTACGTGTACATAAATTTATATTTAATACATACGGAGTAGTATTTATCATAATTTTCTAACACCAGCTTCAATTCATGAGTCAGTTGATGATTTTCTTCTCTAAATATGAATGACTTAATGTCATCATAAACTATGTTGCCATATTTTGACATTACCAGACATTAATATGACATATTAATGTCGTAATTGATAGTGTTTTTCAAATAAAACATTAATAAGACATATTTATGTCGTAACCGATAGTGTTTTACTCGACAAACACAGTACTCCTATTATGAAATTTCCCTAAGAAAATTGTTCTTTCTAAGACAAATCAATGCAAGTTTACAAAAAGACTTGGTCATAATTTTTCCATCCGTGTGATTTACTTAATTCTATTTCAGGAAACTCTATTTCTTCCTTCCAATTTTACACTTCAGCCCCTTCAATCCACTTTCCTGCTGCGGACGGACCAACCCCATTCAGAGAATTCAGCCCCTTTTCTTCTCTCGCCGGTGAACTGCGCAATTGAAGCCGATGCCTCCAACCGTGCACCAGATGCCGCCACTGCTGCACAACCTTTCACCGCTGCCTCCTAATGCGGACCAGACGCTGCAGCAGTCGCGCATCTTTTCGTCGCCGAAGTCGCGCATTCTACCGCCACCACCGCCCTACTACAACATATGTCACTGTCGTCCTATAGTTGTCCCTCTTCTCCGCCACTACATCTCAACTTCTTCTCTTTTCTGGTTTCCTGTAAACCATTGCCTCTTCGTATTGCTTAATACAGATCTGGAAAGCGAAATTAGGGGTAGGTTTTTTGTTGATTGGGTGTAGGTGATTGAGTTTGAAGAATTTATTGTTTATTTAATGTCTACTTATTGTCTATTTAATGTCTGTTATTTTCTAAAAGTAAAGGTATTGTCTATTTATTTACTGACTACTTAATGTCTAGTGTTTGCAAGTTTGATTTTGGATCCGAGTAAAAGCATGGCAGAGCGTGTCTACGGCAGTGACCTCGTCAGAGCACGACGACAGCAGCTTTGCCGGAGGACATAAGTGTGGCCTCGTTGGAGGCCTGTGACGGTGGATCTTATGAAGGGCAGCATATTGCGGCAGTCACGGACTCGTCGGGCGGTGTACACGGCGGACTCTGCCGAGCAGCTTTCACGACAGACTCGCCAGAGGTGCAGGCAGATTCACTGGACGAGGCTTTACAATAGGACGGTGCGGGCAGATTCACTAGACGGCGGATCCCTGACGGTGACGGCGACGACGGCTCCCTAACGGCGGCGGCGGCTCCCTTACGGCGACGGCGTCGGCTCCATGGAGGTGGCGATGACAGTAGCTCTGTGGAGGATGCAGCGGTTGGGGGTGTGGGGCTACAGATTAGGGTTTTAAAACGAAGGGCGATTTGGTCAAAGCTCATGTACTTAAGTCTTACCCTAATCTATAGTCTTAATTTTGGAAATTTAGTATGATTAAGTCCTATTTGTTGAAATCTCCCAATTTCCCTACTTAAAGTAGTTTCTTATTTTAGACTTAATGCAACTTAAGAATTTGTATGCGGATGGCAAATAGATTATATTTCTAGATTAGATCCTAGATCTCCCTTCCCCCCTCTCTCTATATATAATTTGGTTAAAAAAGTGCTCTCTATATGAAAAATAAGAACTAACTTTAGTCATTTATCTATAAATGATTCACTTTATACTATAGACATTTGCATATTATTTCATCCCCATGACTTACACTCCCTCCATATCTAATTAGATGACTCGTTTGCTTTTCACGGAGTTTAAGACAATTACTGTAGAGTTTATAAAAAGTAAGACGTTTTTGGTAGTGTAGCGGTACTGTAGTGATACTGTAGCTGCTTTTTGAGTGGGATTCTTTCCAAAAAAGGAAAGAAGACAATTAATTTGATACACCAAAAAAGGAAAATGTGACAAGTAAATAGATACGGAGGGAGTACATGAAAGATCATCCAATCCATCTATTCTTAAGTAATTAAAGATTCTCACTTTTCACTAGAGATCCTCCTATATAAAAATAAATATGTCATTATTAATTTATTAGTTTTAGGCCATTCAAACAAATTTTGAGGCCATTTAAACCGGCTGCTCGGCTTTAGCTATAAAAGAAAGATGCCTCAAAATGCAATTTCTGTAACATATCATTAACAAAGTACGTACGTGTTCAATGAGTTGTTATATGCCATCTCTACCTATTGTCGTTATTTAAAAAATTGAAACAAAAAATGCATGAAAAAACGCACTTCAAATTAAATGACAAAAGATGAGCAATATATACATACTTGAATTGTAATTGGCATATAATGAATAGGTATAGATATGACATATTGTCGTGAACGTTTTTTTCGTTGCCATAATACAGATTCGAAGCCGACATCGTCAAGTAATCAAGTGGAGGGAATAGTTTTGAAAGGACGACATCTCATCCATGAGGACCCCGCAAAACTGACCGGACAGATAGAGAGTGAGACTCTAGCATGATACTTGCAGAGGCTCTATGCATTTTAGCATAGTAACCTCTCATTCAAGTTATCGGATTCAAACTCGAGACTTACCTCTTGTGACACCTCTATTGTTGGCAAAGAAGTTTTTTGTGTGGAGGGGATAGTTTTGATGCAACTTGCTTCTTGCACATAGTACGTATCCCGTTCCTCATCAATCACTATCCTTTAGATTACAAAAGGTTGCATTTTTTGTGGTCATTTTCCATTTCTCCTCTCATTGTTACCCATGATAGAATCTCATTTTCAAGTGAACTTCTTAAAGAATTGGGGCGGCCTTAATTAATTCCAGTGGCATGGTGACCTTGGATCCAGGATTTATGCTTAATGCGACCTAATTTTGCTCAAGAAATAATATAATCTTCATCGATTGGATCATGAACAAATAAGTCAAAATGCGGAAAATAGGTCAATATGACTTCGATTGTCATCAATTCAACGTCGTTCTATTCTCAAATCCACCGCTTCAGATTCATTCACAATTCGCTCATGTTGTCATATTCTCATTTGAACCAACAAGAGTACAGAAAAGAAAAAAATATTGAAAAGGAAAATAGAAGAAAGAAAGCAACAAGAGAAGAATATTGAAGAATGATAAAAAAGAGCCCAACCCGAAGTACAACAAAAAAGCCCACCCAAGAGAACCGTAGAACTGAGTCAAGTAATCAAAAATTTTTACACTTGTTTGTGATTTAGTCTTGATATGATGTGACTGCTGAATCTTTTTCATGTAAGGAGGTAGTTTTCTTTAGTGACCAATAACCTAGTTCGTATCACAGTCCCATAGATCCTCCATTGATAAAATAGGAAGAGATCTCTTCTCGAACATAACAGTCCAAAATCATGTAGTTAATGGGAAGACCTCTAGTTTTTATTGGGGAAAGTTCCCGAAATATGATTAAAACACTTTCAAAATTCTAAAATAGGACTGCCATGTTTTTTATTTCCAAAATAGGACTAATTACTGCCATGTTTTGAAAATACTGCCATGTTTGAAGTCTGGTACTGCCAAAACATGACAATAATTAGTCCTATTTCGGGAATAAAAACATGGCAATCCGATTTTAGAATTTTCAAACTGTTTTAGTTCTAGTTCGGATAATCTCTCTTTTTATTGCTAAGACCTTGTGTTTATAATATCTATTCTAGTATACCATTGAAAAGGGAGGGGTCAATAAATTAGAAAAATTAGACGTCAATATGTGGGAACTGTGCTTCTTATTTCTCTTGGCCTTTTCCCCTCTTTTTTGGTTTATTACTCTTCTCCTTTTACGAGTTCTTACACTTTGTAATAGAACACATTTCAATCCCCTCTCGGGCTACAAAGTTCAAAAGCTATAGAAGAACCCATATTATAAGTACAAGTGTACATATAAAGCAAAACTATATCCAAAAAATTGATCTCCTAAAAACTTTGAAAAGTATTAGTTCAAATACACCGGACATGTTGTTTCCTTCAATTGGACAACCACCTACCTTAACATCAATGAAAAGGATTTTAATAAAAGAATTTGTATCTTAAATTATGTGACATAATGATACTTAAATTCTCTTGAACATCAATAAGCACTTGTCAAGTGCATTCTTTATTCCTCCTTGCATAATTTTTTTATTAGAGAGACATACACATAGTGTTAGATAAAAAATATGTGTCAATGAAACTATGAAAGGAACTTATTAAATGCATATCATTGTTTCTTGGACTGTGTTAATGATGAGATACTAGCTAATTTTCCCAAAGATAATGCTAGAAGGAAGACAGAGACTATAGTAATCCTCCTCTTATTGCTTCTAAGTTTGTCTCTTACCATTGAACATATGTTGTTATGTTGAAGGTTATGAAGTGCACCATCTTTGTCATCATGAAACTCTCTTGCATCCTTTTCTTCTACCATTGGTAATGATGTTTCCTGTTTAAGATTATAATCTTTTGATACAGCATCATGATCATAACCTTCCTTTTTAGGACTTGGGCCATATATATGGTTTTCATTTTCACTTTCTGAATCACTATCTGAATCACTATCACCTCTTGAAGCGTCTCCGCTTGGCGTGTCAACGCTTGATGATTCACCATTTGACGTCTCCCCGCTTGACCATTCACTGGTTGATGTGTCACCGCTTGACATATCGCTACTTGACATGTCACCGCTGCTTTCGCTTCCACGTTGGCATTCTAGATAAACTTCCGGGGTTTGGGTTGGTATTTTGTTGTCTTCTTTCTTTGTATCGTGTTTTGATAATAAGAATAAATAGAGCTCATCTCCATGAAGCCTTGTTTGGGTGTAATCGGGTATACAATTTGTCTGTATGTCAAAGTGTTTAGCAAAGTATGTATGATTGGTTGGACACATTCCTTTTACGAGTAACCATCTATTTGTGACTTCAATATTAATGTCTTCAAGCTTGAACCCTATAATGACAAGCTCAAGGAAAAGATATATATTGCATGGATATTAGTTTAATTTGTATTTCATGAGACACCTACCACATAAAGAGTGAGTAATGACAAAATTATCTAAATATGAGTAAAACATAACATACTCCTAATAAAGAGTAGTGACATTATTTTCTTCCTAGCCTCCTAGGATAGGGCTAATAAAGGAGTGTCTTTTTTTCCTTAGAATAAGGTTGAATCACTCTTATGAGAAATTTTAAATGTTTTATTCTCTTCATATGACTAAATTAATTCTATTTTGATAATAAAATAAATGAACTTTTGCTATGTTTTACTTCATATTTTGAGCAATACATTTTCTTTTTTCAATTGTTAAAACAAGGCATGAATGTGATAACAATGAGTCTTAAATGATACCAGGAAGTGGCCAAATAATGATCTGACTATTAGTGTTTGAAGAACTCTGGCGGTAAGTGTTGGGCTCCAACAATATATAACTCATTGTCAAATGGATATAATAAATATGGCTTCACACATTCTCTTTTGCTTTAATCAAATTTGGAGTATGTTATTTATACAAACAGTAATCTGCATGAAAACCAACCTTTAATCAACCTTTGCTTGAAACATTATGTTTTTGAAAAAGAAAAAGAAAAGTTTATTCTTTAATTTGCTTGAACCTAAAGTCTGTCATATAAGAGATTCTTTGTGTGTTGTTTCTTGCCTTAAGTTGTTACGTTATCTAACTCCTTTTCAAGTTTCATTTACAAGAAAATTTCTATGAGATATATATACTGCTCCCCACTGAGTTGAAGGTTAGTAGTGATCTGATCTCTCTATATTTTTGCAGCTAGTGGAAATTTCCTATTCTGTAATACTCAGCTATTTAAACATTATAAGTTAACTAATATTGATCTTTATTGTACTGTGCAAATTATCATTAATTATCTAGAGTATGATATTAATTGGTAGCTGAGCTTAGGCATACAATATAATGTGAGTTTGTAATTAGAAGGTGATATAGTTGGTAAAGTAGTGATAAAAAAAAATTATATGACAACCAGAACAAGCAAATATATGATGATTCTCCAAGAATAGAGAGAAAGTGACGAAGATGGTGTGTCAAAATAGTTTAATTGCATCATTGTTTTAACTTTGGAGAGAAAAAGAAATCAATTGGGGATGTGCGTGAAATTTACTCCTCCATTTTCCTTCTCCAGTAGCTCATTGCTCATATCTTTATCCTCAACACAAAAAGGTGGAATAGCCCACCTTAGATGCCCACACCCCGATTCAATAAAATGGTAGATTAGTAAATCACGGTATGAGCTCAAACTGTGTTTCAGAGAAGTGGTTTAGAGCCTGATGTGAATATGGAGACACTGTTGGGATCCCTCCTTAATTGGAGAGGTTCTAGAAAATTCTAGAGCTTTCTAGAAAAGTATATAATTTTCTAGAACGTTCAGGAGAAATCTAGAGAAATCTAGAACTCTCTGGAAGCTTGTGAAATAGTGTGGAATCCTCTTATTCTGAAGATGTGTGGAACCTTCCGGAAGCTTATGGAAGAATATGGAAGGATGTGAAAGGGAGTGGAACTGTGGAAGAGAATAGAGACTCCTAGAGTGTGTGGAGCATTCTAGAGAATCAATCTCCACCCTTGGATACAATCATCCCCACCATTCATTGTGAAGGTGGGGTAGTATACATAGGGATAGGAAGCTTCGTTCTTGATCATCCTAGCAAGAGAGAATCCACTTCTTAGAGTGAGAAAGTTAGAGAGCTACTTTGACATAGAAGAGAGATAGCTTGGGAAGTTCCTATCCTCAAGCTTGAGTGAGCCACCATAGAGTGAGACAATTTTGTAAATGCATCCTTGTAACTCCTACTATTCTTTTGTATACTGGAATAATCTCCAAATTGAAGAATTTAACTCGTGTGCTCCCATTACTACCTTAGTTTCTAAGTGTCTATCTTAACTTCACGAAGCGAGAAAGTCCGATGTTTTTCCCAACCGGCACTACATTGATGAAATTTACACACTGCCGTTGCTCACATGTAGGCCTGTCAATGGGTTGGGTCTCGGTCGGAATGTAGTGTACCAGATCCAGACTCGCTAAGTGATTAAGGGACCCAGACCCGGACCCGTTTACCCGTCGGGTCTGAAATTTTGGACCCGGACCCGGACCCAACGGTTCTCGGGTTTGGGTCGGGTAGACCCGCTAAATATTAAACAAAATCTGTAATAAAATGTAGAGCAATTGCACAAACTAGCTACACTCAATCATCATTAACAATCAACAAAATTCAAAAGCAAACCATATCCTTGCTTTTCAAAAAACAAAACTCAAAGTTCACATAGAAATCCAGTAGTTTTATCCAAACATAATGAAAGTTTTTGATAATAAAATAATCAAAACTAATATCCTAGGCTCCAAGCTTGCATGAGTCACGAGTGCATCTTTCTGGAGGACCAGGGTTAGTTTGAGTATAATATTGAGCACAAGTTTTAAAAATATTATAGTTAATACTAAGCCCACTACAGTATAAGGGTAAGTTTGAGTATGGATACACTGCTCACATATTTTAGGCTTTGCTATGTATTACCGAAATACAGAGTACTATATTAGGAAAAGGGAGTATATATTAATAATTCTAAACGGGTATGGATCTTTAACGGGTCAGAATCACGTGTACCATATCCGACTCATTTATAAAAAATACTAACGGGTTCGGGTTCGGGGAAACGGAATAAAACATAGACCCATACCCGTTAAAAAATAGCGGGTCCTGGTCGGGTCCGGGTCTAGACCCGGCCCATTGACAGGCCTACTCACATCAGTTACAGTTGAGCCACTCGTGTGAGTATTATGTCTTTATCCATTTTTAGTTCTAACATCTTTATGTAATGTTAAGATTAGAAATGTTTACACAACTATACTACATATTCGTATATCATAAACAAAAGGAGCAATATTTGTAATAAATATGCATTAATTTTGCTATAAAAGCATAAATAAATAGCATCTCCCACCTAAAGCCTAGTATGAAATTAAATATAATGTACTACTTATGAGTAGTCCAGGGATAATAGACAACATACATCAACACACTCCATCAATTGTCAAAACCTCCGATTTTTAATTTTAAGTGTTTTATTTTATTTATTATACTTTTTTGCTCAGATTACTTTAATGAGATTTTATGTTTACATAGTGAGTTCATTTCTGGTTGTGTTAAATTCTAGTTACTGTCATGTTCAATAGAATATAGTACGGAGACGTATAATATAATAGTGGGTATACACAAATAACACAATAATAGTGGGTATACAGAATCGTAACAATAAAATACAAATCTTCACTAAATGCAGCAAGAAAATAACATAGAAATTGATGGAGATAAACACTTTGATTTTGATAGTGGACTATAACCAAAATTTATTTATTGAATGTAACCTCCATGAATTTATATGATCCCGATGTGGCGAAAATCATCATTTAAGTTTTGAAGATTGGGTGAAGAAGGACCAAATAAATATAATCCGAATCCAGGGAATCCTAAATAAATATTGTCTTAAGTAAGAGTAAAAGTGTTTTGAAATTTGAAAATATGAACCCTATATTTGTATTCTCTAAATAATAGTATTTTCCATCATGATTAGGAAATATTACCAATTATGACGATATACTGTCATATTTAAAATCTTGTAATAACGTATAAATATGACAATAAATTTTTAAAATGACATTAACATACTCCTATTAATGAAAAAAACACAATACTCTAATTTTAAAATTGTACATTTTTTGTACTCCTATTTAGCTTATTTTACTTAAATACTACTCCCTCCGGTCCCTATTAAAGTTCTCACTTTTCTTTTTGGGATGTCCCTTATTTAAATTCACACTTCCATTGTAGGAAAAAAAACAGTGCAAAACAGTGTCAAACAGTGTCCAAACATTGCCAAACAGTGCACTCCGCAGTAAAGTTAAAATTATTTTCTTAATCTGTGTGAAGTCAAACTGGGAACTTTAATAGGGACTGGAGGGAGTACAAAATCATTTTATACACAAAAGTTTTTAAAGGTAAAATAATGATGAAGTGTATTGTTTTTGGTAAGTCAATAACCTAATTTATCACTAAAATACAAACTATTTTTAAAAAAGTGACTTTTAAAAGTAATTAAACTAATTTTAGTCATAGTAACTCATGTTCAAACTTTACCCTTAAAAGATCATGACACTAAACTCAGTAATCTTAGTCATAATTTTTAAAATAAATTTTGTCTCGGTGATATTTTTGAATAAACTTCAAAGTCTGGATGATAATAACTTGACAGGAAAAAAATGAACAGGATATGAACTGCTCCGCATGAATAAATCATACATTAAATTAAAAGGCACCAATTTTTTGCTTCCCAGATCAACAATCAACATAAATTTTATAGTAAAAAGTCCAGCTTAAACTAAAACAGCGGCTTCTCAAACACCAGATTCATTACATACATGCAAAAACACTTGCAGTACTCCGATCTATAAGGACGACCATAATAAATACGTAGTATTAATTAATCATCAATGAAGAGTACATTACAATATTACATGCATGTACAGTGGGTTCGCGATTTCGTTTGAATAGATTCCTATTTATATGTATATATATTAAATGTCAGTATCTGATTAATCCTTATGAAGGAAATAGCAAAGACCCAAAATAATATCAATAATTAAAAAAATGAATAAAAAAATTACAAAATGAATGCTTTTTTTTTTCAGCTTAGTTTCTGCTAGATTTTATCCTTTTCCTGGCTTGCCCCGATTCCTCCTCCGCACTTGTAGCTATGGAGCGTAGAATTGGTTCGTTGCTAGTGGATACATCCTCACCCTGATGAAAGCTCAAATCTTTAATGGCTTTTTATATTTGAACACACCAAGCAAGATATGGCAAATTGGAGCAAAACCAATCATAATTCTTCTAAACAGATCGATTAGAATAATAAGAAGATAATATTTGGGCTCTATTTTTTAGACTAATCAGACCGATTATTCGTTCAAGCTTTCATTATTGGCAATATCACTCCAGATTAAGGTTGTAACTACTAGTAAAAGGTCAAAGTAGCCCATTCCGGATGGATTTGACAAGTGTAGGTTTGTAGGATGACTCATCAACAGTTATCTAATAGATTTATATGTTTAATTAACATATTTTGAACAGAGTACGCATTGCAAGGACTAAAATAGTTAAATCCACTAAAATTGTTGAGTGTAATTAAATTGGCTGAATTATGTGAAATACTCCGTATGATTTAAAAGATACTCCGTCTATGCAGAGTTGCAGACACATGTAAAGAAAATGAGATCTTAAAGAACCAACTTCATCCTTGTCTGCCACAAAAGTGAAGCAACTTCTGCCTTAATTTGTTCATTATGTTAGTGTTTGTGCAGAGGAGAGAGAACTAATAGAAACCACAAAAAAATTAATTAAAGGGGAAAGTGACAAAGTTTTTTGGGACGTCCCAAAAAGGAAAGATGGCAAAGTATTAAGGGACGGAGTAGCATATAA